GACCCCAGAGGTCACGAAGTCTTATCTCATTTTACAGATGAAGAAAATAAGACATTGTGGTATAATGGATAGAAGGATAGTCTATAAGCAAGGAGAATAAGACATTACAATAATCCAGGTGAGAAATGATGGGGGCTTGAACTAGGATAGTGGATGTGTTATTAGAAAGAAGGGCATGGATGTTAGTTTATGGAAGTCTTGGCAAGTGATTAGATATAAGGCATAACAATAACTCTGAGGTTAAGAAACTAGGTGAGTAAAAGCATGGTGTCCTCAAAAGGAAGTCTGGAAGAAAGATGAATGGGGTTGTGTAATAAGATATACCTGGAGCAAGTTTGGAGCATCCATGGACATGTCCAGTAGGAAGTTAGTGGTCCTGGACTGGAGTTCCAGAGAGAAACTAGTGCTACACATATTGATTTGGGAGTCATCTCTGTAGAGCTTATAATTAAACCTAAGGTGGCCAGTGAGATTATTGGGAGAGAATGTAGCTACAGAAGAGAAGGCCTACAACAGAGCCTTGGATGTCACCTCCTCCTGATTCATAGAAGATGGATGGTGATCTGGCAAAGGAGCCAGAGAATGAGCAGTCAGACAGACAGGAGGACAGCAAAGAGAACAGTGTCATGGAAGGTAAGGGAAGAGGGATTCCTTGAGAGAAGGGGATGGCTGACAATGTCAAATTCTTCAGAGAAGTTAAATAGGATAAAGATTAAGAAAAACCCATCAGATTTAGAATTTAAGAGGTTATCAACAACCTTAGAGAGAGCAGTTTCAGTTAAGTTGAAAGGGACAGAAGCCAAATGGAAAGGGATTGAGAAGTTGGCGGAAGGTAGGGAAATGGAGACAGCAATGCAGATGACTTTTTTCTAGGAGTTTGACTGTGAAAAGAGAAATGTGTGTGTGTGTGTGTGTGTGTGTGTGTGTGTGTGTGTGTGTGTGTATATACACATATGTATATATACATACATATTCATATACATTTACACACACATGCATACATGCATGCATGCATACATACATACATACATACATACATACATACATACATACATACATACATACATACATACTGGAGTCTCATGTGAAGGTTTCTTTGTTGTTGTTGTTTGTTTGTTTGTTTAAAGGCATGAGACTTGAATGTGTTAAAACTGTATCTTGCACTGGTCCCTCTGACGCCCCTTGCCAGTCAGTATTGTAAGTTTATGACTAGCCAGTAAAAGGGCAATAGCAGGGAATAAGATTGCAAATGGCAATTTGGAAGTCAAGTATAAACCATCCCAAAAATCAAAGGGGCATAATTTACAAACTGTCGTATATTTACCAAAATTCACATCCTGCTAATACGTGCTTAATCAGCAGAAGCCATCTAGGTGATGCTGTCAAGGTTTTTGGTTTTATTATATATAAATCCTGGACAAATTCAAGATCTCTACAGTTCCAGACCAGCAAAACATCAGAAGGTACTTATTACTTTGTGCTGACATGGACACGTTAATTGTGAAATTTTACCAATAGCTTTGAGATGATTTGGATGTCAATGAACTAACCCCAATGTGGCACAGACAGGGATTAGTCTGCTATCCCCCCAAACCCTGTAAAAGTGAAACCTCAAGCTCCTGCCCTTTGAACACTCTTCCATCTCCACTGGGTCCATGCTGCCAAGTGCTCCCAACTCTAATCCATGTTTACTTGAGTGAATATTCTCTGCCTCTCCCTCTCCCCATCTTCTTCTCCAGGCTACCTGCCTCCCCCTACCACCCATCCCATGTCCCTAGGCCAACTGCCACTGTATTCCTCCCAATTTTTTGCCACTTGTCTCTGTATTTTCTGTGCTGCTTGCCTTCACATACTTTGTGGTTATTGAAGTGTAATTGCTGCCCCATCTCCCACTGCCAGTCTTTCCTGGTGAGTACCCAAAGAACTGGGGATGCCTACCCCATTTCATAAGTTCATAAATTAATTATCAGCTTGCTGAGAGCAGATGGAAGGATATGAAGGATATGGAAGGTGAAGTAGATAAGGAGAAATTTAAAATCAGAGTGAGACATAGAAAGAGACAGAGAGATAAGAGAGACAGAGGCAGGAAGACAGAGACAGAGAGATGGAGGCAGAGAGGCAGAAATAGAGTCAGAGCCATAGATAAGCAGATATAGAGAAACATATCGTAGAGTGTTCAAAATCCAGAAGGAGTCAGGAGGTGATTGAAGTGTGGAAGAATTAGAGGGATTGGCCTTGATCAAAAATTAGAACAAAGTTGGAGAGCATGGCTGAGGAAGAATACTTGTACTTCTCATCTTGAGAATCTTCCTTTGGTGTGATCACTAATGACATAAATGATTAACATTTAGTCTGATAAATTGGATCTAGGGAGGGTCTCCAAAGTTCTGGTTCATAAACAGAAGATAGAACATATTAAATCACTCCTTAATGGCCAGGAAGAAATGATGCCACTTTTCCTGACATCTTTCACTTATCTCCATATTGATTGTTTAGCCACCAGGGGTTGTGGTTCACAAGATGTGAGGGGCTTATTATAAGGGCTAGTATAAAGAACACCAGGATGTGAAGGGATAAGATTTGGGTTTGAGTCATGATTCTCCTTCTTGCTAGATATGTGACCTAGACCAGACCACTTGACCTTTCTGTGCCTCAGTTTCCTCATTCATAAAAACAGAGATAATAATATATCCCCCAGCCTCACAGTGTTGCTGGGATGAGGTACGGTGGAAATGTGAATTATTATCGTTATTAGATAGGGGCAATCATTTTAAAAAGCAGTTTCATTTCTTACTCTCTTTACTTTCCTTACCTTGCCCTGCAGCCCCTGCTCTGATCTTCAAGTGTTTTTTTTTTTTCCCTTCCTCCCAGTGTGTGGCATGCTAAACAGGCTTCCTGTTCATTCCCACTGAGGCCTGACTTAATCCTAGGAGCACTCCAACCTGCAGTTCCTTCCTTCCGACACTTTAGTGGTTTGATTATAAAAGTAATTAAGGGATTTTTTTCCCCCTTTTCTCTCCTAGTTGGTCTACTTTAACACTAATAATGCAAATAAGCTCTAATTGCTCATTTGCTGTTCAGCCATTTTAGCTCAATCTAAATTGTATGGCAGATTTGGGCACTGGTCTTTACCTTGCCATGACTTGGCTCCTCTGAATCTGCTCTATGATTTGCAAACAGGCTGAGTAAGAGACAAGAGAAGTTATGAGGTGGGCAATGGAAATTGTTCATCTAAAAGACAGGCTTTCATTCTAAATAAGAAGGAAGAAAAATTCTTATATTTACAAAATGACTTATTTCTGAGAGTGTGAGAACAACATAGTAGAGTAGAAAAAAGCATTGCATTTAAATGTTGGTTCTACTGCTTTTTATCTGTGTGAACCTTAAATAAGACATTTAAACTTAGTGGGTTTACATTTATAAATGAGTATGTTAGACTAATCAGGAGTTCTTTTTATTGTTATATTTTATTGATGTAGTTTGTTTTTTACATAGCAAAAATTTCTCCCAGTTATCTCTCCTCCTTCAACCTCCCAGAGATCCATCCCATACAATAGAACAAAAATTTTTCCAAGGAAAAGAAGAGGAAAAATCAACAAAGTTGATCGACACATCACCAGATTTTGAAAATATATACAACATTCCATACTCATGAACCTTCCACCTTTGGAGTAGGATGAGAATGACTTCTCATACATCTTCTTTGGGGCCCTGATTGTTTGTAATTTTGCAACATTTGCAAACCTTACCTCTGACATAAACTGACTATGTGATCCTGGAGAAGTCACTTACCCCCTCAAGAATGTAAACAACTCTCCAGGACTACAAGGTGAAGAGATGGAGCTGAATTCTGTTGGCCAAGAGAATTTCCTTACTCAAGAGTTCCCTATATCAAGGAAATCACAGGTCTACTCCCCATTCCTATCCCTATTTACCAGGCATTATACTAAGCATTAGGCTTACAAAAACAAAAAATGAAGCAGTTACTGATCTCAAGGTGTTTACGTTCTACCAAATGTTCTTAGGTCTTGTCTGCTCAGGTTTATCATTTACTTGCAAAAGGCATAGAAAGCTTGGACAGCTAGGCAGCACAGTGGGTAGAGCGTTGGGCCTAGAATCAGGAATACCTGAATTCAAATCCAACTGAGACACTTCCTATCTGTGTGACACTGGGCAAGTCACTTAACCCTGTTTGCTTCAGTTTCCTCATCTATAAAATAAGCTGGAGAAGGAAATGGCAAATCACTCCAGTATCTCTGGCAAGAAAACTAAAAAATAGAGTCATGAAGAGTTGGACACAAGTAAAAAATGACTAAACAATAAAAATAGAATGTTTGCTTATCAAATTTTTGGTTGACATAAAGCTAAAGGAGAAGGAAGATAGCTAAAATAGCTACTAGACTAAATGACGCAATCATAATCTCTAAAGAACTCCATAGGCCGGAAAAATGTAATGTACCCCATAGCTCATAATCCTAAACTTTCAGTTTACGTGGACTAAGTTTAATGTTGTGAACCTAACCCTCCCCTAATTCTATCTCTGTCTCATTTTGTCCATACCCAGAATTTCAACTGGAAAATTCAAATTGTAGAGTGTATTTATTCAGAACGCAAGAGAATGTTATCCACTGTTGTGAATAAATTCTTTGCGAATGGATATTATTTGTGTGTGGTAAAATCAAAGCTTCTTTACACTCAGAATCCATAGTTACCTTGAGTGCATGGAAGCTAGGGGGAGGGGCCCTTTTGTCCATATCTATGAGGCCATAGAAATAGCTCATTCTGAGTTCCCAGAAGACTCTCTGAGTGTGGGAAACATAATTTTGGGGCTCTAGGTTATAGTTTGATGGATTGTTGTAGTAGTAGCAGCAATATTTTAACCACTCCTCAATGCAGGTTAGACTAGTTTTTCCTTAAAAGATATTGAATATTCCTCAAGACTTGCTTGACTCAAGGGCATAAGGGCTCAGATTGTTGATTATCACTTCTTTTCCCCTAAGAACAAGGAAGCAATGAGGACCTGGAATGGAGGAGCATGGCTCTCAGATGCTTTGCTGGTGGATCAAGAGATGGGAACTTTGCTCAGCTAAATCAACTCAAGAGGTTCTCAATAATTATTCTTATTGAATATTCTCCTACTATGGTTAAGTAAATCTTTCATAACTGTTCAATGACTTTTGACTGTCTCATTTTGTTCTAATATCGAACCTAAATTACGAAGATACTGCTCAGCCATAAATAGCCTTTATCCATTTTCCACTCACTAAATATGGGTATCCTAGGGTCCTCTGTTCTCTCTGCATTCTTTCTGGGTGACCCCATTAGCTCTCACAGGTTCAATAGCAAGATGTAATTTATTAGCGATCAATGCCAAGGCCTGTACTAAATTTCAAAAACTCATTTCCAGAACTGTAGACCTAGGGGGAGGTAATTAGATAGAACTTTATGTGGGGGGAAATAATCAAACCTTTCTGTTTCAGCAGACTTCAAACTCAATGTGTCATTGAAATTTAGTGTCAAGAGCCAAGAAAGAGAATGCCATCTGAAATCCTGTTACAGAAAGCTAGGGGCTAAAGCAAGGGCTCTTAACCATTTTTGTGTCATGGTCCCCTTCTCAGAAGATTATTTTCCCCCTCTCCATTTACCTTGAAATTTCCTCCCTGAGTCCATTTTCAAATATGGAACATTTACCAGTGGTACTACCTCCCACTACTGAAACAATGATTTCCCTTTTTTCCCATCCTATTTCAATCCCTCTCTTTGCCTTGTTATGTATTTTCTTATAGGCTCTCTTCTTCTTAAGAAATTGCAGGAGTTTCTTTTCATTGTTAGCCTTTGATTTGATTAGAATACATTACACATTCCTTTCTGTCTTCTTTCTCCCTTTTCCCCTTCTATATATCTTCAAATTTTATAACTTAACCCCCAACCCCCCAAAAAACATTGATTGATGTGTAGGCTAGATACTGTGAAATAGAGTCTATGATGCTTTACTCCTATTTCTCCATCATTACTTCTATTTGATTTCTGCTAATGTCTTTGTCTCCCTGTGTATTTTGGAAAGAAATTTCTTAATGGTGTGATGAGTGAAAGATGAAATGACTGAGAAAACAAAGGTTCAATCTTCTAAGTATATCAATTTAAGCAATGCATGCCAATTGCCTAACAAATAAGATCCAGGCCCCTTCCTCAACTTATGGCTAGACCCTGAATACAAGAGGAGACAGATTTTTTTACACCTTAAAAATAATGAATCGAAGAAGGTTGATTAATTAAAAGGAAACAATGCAACACTAGGTAATATGATTTCTAATTGGATGAAAGATTAGGGACTTTCCCAAGTTGGAAGGGGGATAGTGAATAAATGTGATTCACTGAATTCAGAATAAGAGGTGTCCCACTCCCCAAAGTATCTGTAAATAATCAAAGGAACATAGGGACAGTAACTGATTGATCAGTATGGGGCCAGTTTTCAGATAAGACATACAGGTTGTTTAAGATGTACAACTGTGAGATAACTCTTTGCATCAATCATTGAATCTGACAGGTTTTCTGGTCAGCATAACCAAGGTCCTTAGTGAAGGGTCTCTAAGCAGCAGGCAGAGGTGGTCCAGTTTCCCAGTCATGCAGGGCTAGATTCAAATGATACAATTAGGTTTTCTCCCAATTCCGACAATTGAATAAAATTTCTTAGAAGACAGAATTTGGACTAGACTCATAACTGGATAGAAATGTAACTGAGCTAGCTCCAGAATTGAGTCACAAGATGGAGTCAGCATGGTTCACTCAATTCCCCAAGTTAACCAACCACTTGCTGTCCTACTCCCCTCAATTCCCTCAATTGTCTGTATACTGCTGTTGTTTGGTTTTGTTTTTGCTGTTGCTGTATTTGTTTTCCTTTCTTGTATATCTGTTGTCTAGAGTCAGAATAATGTTTTTAAGGGCACAAAAATAGCTAGGATTAGAAAAGACACATATTATATTGAAATATGTTTATCAAAATATAAAAGAAAAAGTTCATGCATCTTAGGTTAAAGAATCCCTGTTCTAGAGTAAGGGAAATAATAATTATATTGCATTCTGACCTAGTCAGATCACATCTGAAGTATAGGGTTTAATTCTAAGTCTTATTCTTTTAAAAGAAAAAGCTGATTAACTAGAATGTATCCAGAATGGGGAGACCAAAATGATGAGGTTCAGTCAAAAGAACTGGGCATAGAGAAAAGAGGAAAAGGTGGTAGGGAAGAGTGATAAGGATGAGAGAAGCATAGAGTACGGGAAGGGAAATGATCTCTGTTCAGATAGTCATCTGGATATACATTCACATAGATGAAACTTTGAAGTTTTAAAATATATATCATCTGGAAAAAGGATTATACATTTTGCCTAAGTTGAGAAGGGAGAACTAGGATTAATAAGTGGAAGTTAAAAATACACATTTTGGCTATGTATAAGGAAGAACTCTCTAACAATTAGAATTGTCTTAAAAGGGAACGAACTGCCTTCCCATTATGGGATGTGTTCAAATAGAGGTGAAGTTATTAGAAATCCACAATTAATGAGATAAAAGGAAAGGCAACTAATGAAAATGAACAAGCACCATGATTCAAATAAAAGAATCTTTCAAGCAGGTATCATCTATCAGTTTCCATCTGCTGTAATTGATAGGATTCAGGAATAAGATAGGAGGTTGGGCTAGATAGGAGATCTCTAAGGTTCCTTCCAATTTTAACATGCTATGGCTCTCTGATTTTTTTCTTCTAGGAATTAGGAGTATAATACTGTTTTCATTTTACTCTAGTTTTGTACTTAGAGAATCAATTAGTGTCAATTCTCTGCATTGAACTTGAATGTCCTCCCTTGAAAGCTAATGTTTTATATGTCAGAGCATGCCACATCAACCTAATTAGTCACATATATCTTGTTCTGGAGAGGAGAGAGTGGGCTGGTAATTGGCCTCCCCTACCTCTAATAGGTACTGCACTAAATTAAAGACTGGGTAGTTCTAAATACCATCCCTTTTCATCCAAGAACCAGATGAGCTAGAAACTCACCATTCAGATTGTTGTCTACTAGATGACATTTTTGGCTACAGCGATTCATGAATTCTATTAAAACATGAAGAGGCCGCAAGTTATATCACTGGAAGTCGCACTTGATGAAATAATAGATTAGACACATTGGAGTCCATGTAGCCCTAAGGATGTAGGCTCAGGGGGACGAGGAAGAAGATAACTCATCCTTACAGAGCTTCAGGACTCATACTCACCACTCACCATAGATCTCTTCTCCAAAAAAAAAAATCTGAATGTTTCCTAAGGAAATATGCCAAGAACAAAGTCGAAAGCATCTATTCTCTGGAGTAGAGTCTGAGTTGAGGCGGGGGCATAGTCCATCTCCTGTATTCAGGACAATATTTTGCTGATGTCTTTCCACAGAGAGGCCAATCAGAAAACTCCAGTTCTGATTGGATTTAGTTCATCATACATGCCTTCTTGCCCTTTTGCTTACATTTAACATCTCTCAGTAACTGCAAGAATCATACTTATTCTTTGAAGTCCAACTCAAGATCAACTCATGCTGTAAAATCCTCCCTGGTGCTTCAAGTCTGCTGAAGCCTCAGCTGCCTTTGAACTTCTGTAGCATTTATTATTTATGCCACTGGTTTGGCACTTATATTACAATACAATTGTGAGGGGATGGTGACTTTGCCACACCTGCAGGAAAATAGGGCAAAAACTAGTGGTTTACCTATCTCCAACAACCACCTGTTTCTAAGTGCCTTCTTGAGGCTTATTGAGGCATCAAGATAATTTGAATGGCCCTGGGACTAGCTACAAGGGGACATAATAAAAGCAGAAAGACACTGAATTTTTCCTAACCTATCAGGAAGGCCTAGGAGACTTTCTGTTGGGAAATCAGGTAAGAGAATGAAAAATGACAGATGTCCAAGGAGATTTTTTGCATGAAGCTGGATGTGGCCATTGCCCTATCAAAGAGCAAAAAATTGGGCAGTCACATAAAGGAGTACTAGAAGGCACTTAGAAACAGGAGAAGTTGATCTGGAATTGGGCTTCAAAGAGTAAATATGATTCTTGCAGTTATGGAGAGATATATGTGTAAGTAAAAGGCAAGAAGGAACACTAGCAATAGATGTCAGCCCTAGTAAGTAGCAGCAGCTGCTTAGAGAAGAAACCCTAGCAGCAGATGGTGGCAGCAGAAGCAGCTTGTCAGTGGGGCAGCAAATAGCAACTTCAAAAGGATAGAAAAATAGCACATGATAAAGAGAAATAGAGCAATAATGAGACACAGGTGGCTGCTGGGAGACAGAGTCACAAGGACTGCTCCAGTTGCAGCACATTGCTAGGATCATGATTTGCTCAGGAAGTGAGGCTTCTCTCTCTGGTATGGGAAACATTGGAAAATTTGTATAACTTTTGTATGCAAGGCAATGGGGAGTGAATTCTATTATTTGATTTCTTATTCTTATTTATTTTACTATTCTATCCTAAAGAAAAGTTTTGCCATTTAATTCATCATTCCAGCCTCTCTTGTTGTTAAAGAATATAGTGGATGGGGGCTCAAATCATATTTATAGCACTATATTTTCCCCAAACACCCTATCTTGAACATTGGGTAACTGATATGGGATCAGAACCACACAACACAGTATATGCCATTGCAAACACATCCTGTCATTCCACAAAGATTGTAAATAAACTCCTAGAAACCAGGATCTTTGTCCACCATGGTTAAGAGAGATCTGATGGCATGAGAACAGTGAAAACTGCATCAAGAGGGATGGGCTTGTTGGGGCTGGGCACACGTGACATACAAAATCACAAATGTGCCCATGGAACTTTGAAAAAAACAGTTGAGAAAACTATTTGCCGAATATAGCCTCCTTCCTTCTGCTTGAATAGTGAATGTCTGCAGCCTGTTCCTAGACTTCACTTCTTGGAATTTATTGATCCTGGCTTTGATTCTGCATTCACCCTTGGATTCCTTGATCTTCCTCTATCCCTTTAGCATGAAGACCCATGTCGTTGTAATAATGATAACAATAATAAC